ACTTGGTCTGAGGTGGGCTATGGGAGCCAGGTGAGGGCTGGCTGAGACCCACTCTGTCAAAGTGTGACTAGAGGGGTCGGGCCCAGGCCTAATGCTGTCCTCAAAGTCAAAAAGGGTGACAGGAACTCAGTTGTGCCATTTTTAAATTAAATACGTATTACCTATTCTTCGGAATGGCCGAGGACAAAGTGGGCAGTGAGTTAGTGTGTACTCACCCCCCACACACCAGAGGCGAAGGCTGGTACTGGGGGAGGGGGCGTCTCCAGGAGAGGGGTGGCAGGGACAGCACCAGAGACAGCCGGGCAGGCCATAGCTCTGTGCTCCTGGCTCTGGTGTCCTCTCCTGCTGTTCCCCAGTCACAGCCACTTGCTGCCGGTTCCCAGTACACCTCCCTTTGTCACCTTGACGCTAACCCCCTCCACCCTGCAATCCGCCTCCTGGCAATGGTGCCATCAGATCTACTCTTGGGCGTGGTCAAAAACAAGTCTGGAAGTCCTTCCTGGCCTCTCCCCTCCTTCCAACTGCGTTCCTGGGAAGCGTGAGCTTGGATCTACTCACTTCGATGGCCCCAAGGCAGAGAGCTGACCCCCACCCCACAGCCCCACTCTCTGAGCCCTGCGGCCCATCTGGCAGACGGGAAGGAGCTCGAAGGGACTTGTTGCTTGGTGGCCTTCCAGGATGCCTCGCTCTCCGCCCTTGTCTCAGCCCCGACAACTCAATCCAGCTGACATGACAGGAGTGGCAGTGCGCAGCTGCTGCAGCCAAGGAGGCCGCTTGTCTCTGGGGAGTACCCTCTCCAGGGCTGTAGACCATGTCCAACCTGCGCGTGGCAGCGGAGGCTTTGCCTCCTACAGCCTTCTGTCCGCTAAGCCAAAGAAGCCAACCACGTGCTCAAGAATACAATATGAAAAAAGAAAGAGGGAACCAGCAGTTAGCGTAATGGCTATGTCGCTGGACTCCCACGTAGTCGACCACGGTTCGCGTCCTGGACCTGGTGGCTTAAAACTCACGCCGGGCACGTGTGTGTGCATGCCCAAGATCCCAAGAGGAGAATGGAGGAGAAGGGATTGCGGCGTGGCCATCCCCTCTGGGGGGCGATTTCTCACTTTCTGTCTCTCTGTCTCTCTCTGTCTGTCTGGCGAGCGCATACGCCTTATAGCGAAAACCTCTCCAAAAAAAAAAAAAAAAAAAGAAAAGAAAATAGGGCCAGCAGATGTCATAGCGGTTACGTCGCTGGGCCCCCACATGGCCAGCCATGGTTCAAGCCTCGGAGTTGGCTTGAAACTTACGCTGGGCACGTGTGCGTGCGTGCCCAAGATCCCAGGAGGAGAATGGAGGAGAAGGGATTGCAGCATGTCCATCCCCTCTGGGAGGGTGATTTCTCACTTTCTCTCTCACTGTCTGTCTCTGCCTCTCTCCAGTGAGCGCACATGCCAAAAACCTCTTTTAAAAAGAAAAAAAGGGGGAGGGGCAGCAGGTGACATGGTGGTTAAGGCCCTGTACTCCCACATCATCGACTGCAATTTGGAGGCCCAGACCCAGGGGCTTGAAAATCACTCTGGTTGTGTGTGCATGCATGCCCGAAATTTCGAGAGGAGAAAGGAGAGGGGATTGCGGTGTGGCCATTCCCTGGGGGAATTCTCACTTTCCCTCTCACTGTCTCTCTATAGTGAGTATACGCACCCTACGACAAAAAAACCTTCGAGAAATTTTAAAAAAGAAAGAAGTGGAGTCTGGGGAGCACCCTAGAGGTGCAGCTAAGGGGGCGAGAAGTCTCCCCACAAGGACCTGGGGAGTGGTCGGAGCCTATCACAGTTTCAGAACCACAGCATCCTAGATAAGACTCTGGCTACTCTGAAAAGTCCTCCAGCTGTTGGGGGGGGGTAAGGGAGGGAGGGATCATTTGCATTTAGTTTGCATTAATTTGCATAGAGCTCTTTTGATGTCCAAAGGCACTGAAATTTCCTGTCCTTGCTTCTTTCTCCCTTTCTTTTCTCTGTTCCTTTCTAACCTCAGGCAACCCCCCTATCTTTCTCCTCCCCACAGCTTTTCCTCTCCCAAACTGAACAGACAGTGGAGCATCAGGCCCAGGGGGCCGGCCTCTCCCCTAGCCTACCTCCCACAGGCCCAGAACGCAAAAAGCAGTTTCAAGGAGACTCTAATGAGTGTGGGGAGGAGGGAGGAGCAAAGGGGACTGTCAGACTCTCCCGTTAGTTCATCACATTGGCATGATCCTGGAGTAAGTCAGAGGGGGAAGGAATGGAAACGGTCTCCCATCCGCCTTGCCCCCCCACACCCAGCCAGCCTTCTAAGGCTCAGCAAGGGGGGTGGAGGAGGGGGTCAGGGGAGGGCAGGGGTCTGCCTTGTCTGCTCTGTGGCTGGGGCAAGTCCCTGCCCTGGGGACCTCAGGATCCTCATAGGCACAGTAAGAATAAGATCGAGGTTCCTTCCACCTGGAGTTATATAATCACGGGATGGCGACCAGAAAGGTGTCTCATGCTCAGGATGAAAGCACCGACTTTCAGGCGGGGTAGGCCTGAATCTGAGTGCCAGCTCTGCTGTCTCCTTGCTGGATTACCCTCTCTGAATCTCAGTTTTCTCATCCACACCTTCCGTCTACACTAGGGCTTCAGCCTGTGGCGCGGTCCCTGGAGCATACGGAGCAGTCAGTGTTTATGAACGATCAATATAGGAATGAGGGCGAGGTGACACCCGCCGCCCTCGGCTACCCTCTCCTCCTCCCACCCGTCCATCCTGCCGCCTTCCCTCCCATGCCTGGAACCCCAAACTATGCTTCCAACGGCCAGCCTCCAGGGGTTATGTGTACCCCCATCACCCCCCACCCAAGAACTCCAGCTTTCCTTCCTGCGGCCCCTGGACTCTCGACTCCTCAGCTACTGGTATTCCACGGCCCTTGGAAATGGTCAGATACGTGCTTCTCTGGCTGCTAGAAGACTATAGCCCAGAGAAGGAAGGTGACTTTGCACACGGGAGCACAACAGGTCCCAGGTATGGTGGTCAGAGACCCAGAGCACATGGCCACGCAGATAACACGCAAATGGTATGGACTGTGATTGCAAGCACGCAGGGTACTTAAACACTGGGCAAGCATTTTTCTAGGAAGATGGCAGGTGAGTGCAGGTGCAGATGAGAAATGGATCTCAAGGGAAGAGGGCAGATCTGAAGTCCAGGAGAGCGGGGAAGGGAGGGCAACAGTGTCCTGAGAAGGACCCGTGGGCCCACTTGGCCTCCAGGAAACTTCGCTGATCTCATCCCCAACCAGAAGAAATGAGAAGGCCCTCCCCGTTGGCCAGGGCTAGGGGCAGCAAAGGTCGATGTGACTGAAGGTGATGCTTTGTGGGAACATGAGGAAGCACTTAGGCACTTCCTATGCCCCCAAGGCCACTGTGGTGTCCACTATCACTTTCGGATCCTCTCGGGTGCCCAGCACCGCTCAAGGTCCTGTAGAACCAATGAAGCCAGTTATAACCAGAAAGTGGGCTAAGAAAAGTCTGCATCACCTGCCTCAAAGGCTGCTAGGGACACTGAAGTGTCCTGCAATTGAGTAAAAGACCACATCACCTCCAACTTCAGTAAGGAGGGGCCGTTTGCATCAAGCACGGAGGGAGGAGGGCGTGGCGCAGTGGACCAAGAGCCCAGTGCAAACCAGCTACAAACCACGGGCAAGTTCAAGTCTCAAGGCTGCCTTTTCCCCAGCTGTAAAATGGAAGTAATACCTTAGTCCACTTTACAGGTTGTAATAAGGATTCAACGAGATCTAGCGCCAGTAAAGACGTTTTTAAAGCGTTGGTCAGCACAGCCCTGGCACATGGAAAAAGCTCTGTACATGCTGGGTTAATGACAGGCGTTATCAGGGTGCCTGGGAGGTGGACAGCAAATAAGAAGGACGTTGATACTGAGACACAGAAGCAGATAAGCCCAAGACCTGCTCCGTGCACAGGAAATGGTCCTTGGGACTCCGGTGACAGTGAGTTGACAGAGAGGCCTGCTGGACAGCAGGAGAGGCCTGCTCTCCTGTCTGCATGTGGCTCTCCATGCAGGGGGCCCCTGGCTCTGAAGCACTTACTGGGACCTGAAGGGAGGAAAAGGGGGTGAGTGGGGGCTCAGGGCTGGATACAGCAAGGAGCCCTGGAGTGGAAGTCCAGGGGCCTGATTCCAGCCAGGCTCTGTCATTAGGGAACTGTGTGCCTTCCAACCAGACATGTCCCAGTTCTGAAAGGTGTCATTGCCACAGCTCCTGGCACTGGTAAATCACTCCTGCATCCATCCTCTTACAGGGCCCCGGGCAACCTAGGGCCTGGGGATCCCCCCTCAGAAGCAATCCTCTTCACCAGGATGACTGATAACAAGCTGAGCCCCACCGAGGTCCCATGATGCTGTGGGGATGCCATGGTGGCTGGGCGAGCTTAGCCACTAGCTGCACCCCACATACATGCTAGTCCCCCACACCCCTTCCAGATGAGTAAAGTGAGTTCAGGCTGAAGATCTTGTCCCATGCCACTCAACTGGGAGAGGTAGGATCCCACCCCCAGACAGTTTCCCCGCACACCCCTGCGGTCGCGCACGCTCCAGGCTCCTTGCAGCGCTTGCACTTCGAGAATCTCCAGACGGAAGCTCAGGCCCGGCTGGAAAACCTGCCAGAGGTTCCTAAAAAGGGCGACCTGGACCGGGAGTCCGGGTGTGCTGGGGAGGGGCCGCCAGGCCGGGTTGGGGCCGACAGGTGTTCCACAGGGTCGGACCCGCCCCGGCAGCACCCTGGCTCTCTCCCCGGGCCCCCAGCTTTCCGTATGCAAATCGCTGCTTTGCCTGGGCCCGGGGCCAGGCGCGGGGGCCCTGCCAGGGGGCGTGGCCGGCGGCCCCCCCCCCCCCGCGCCGGCTCACCGGGACTGAGGAAGGAGACCCTGGCTTCCCAGGGGGCCCGGCTAGAGCAGACACGAGGAGCCTGGGGGGGCGCTGGCTTTGGCTCTCCCTGGGGCAGGATGGTGAATCTGGAGCCCATGCACACAGGTGAGGGGCGGAGGGAGTGCGCTCTGACAGGTGGCACTGCGCACCGGAAGGGGCGAAAGAGAGGGACAGCGGTCTGGGGCGGGTGTGAGGGGCTTATTCCCCAGCGGCCAGGAGAGGGCGGTGTGGATAGCGGGTCGTCCTGGAGCGTTCTTGAGGAGTCTGGGGGACTGGCCGACCAGGAGGGATGGGAACCTTGGAAAAGAACCAGGGTGGGGGCTCTGGGCAGGGGTGCGGGCCTGGGGGTGCGGAACTGTTGTAGTCACATGAGGTTGCAGATGGGTGTTCACTCGCTCAGGCAGGGGTGTGGACCTGGGAGTGCATAAGTGAGAAAAATACGTGTACCCACATGTTCCAGGTTTGGTGTTCAGGCACATGTGTGAAATAGAGGCAAGGGGGTAGACGCGTGTGCAGCGGGGGACTTAGGAGAAGAAGGAGGGCGGGGCAGGTACAGAGGTGCAGCTGGGGAGGTGCCATGGCCCCGTGATTGATTAGGGCTGGTGCCAGCCTGTGTCTGAGTGTGTCAGAGCTGTGTCTGCACGTCCCAGGGTGTCGGAGAGGTGTGGAGCAGCCCCCAGAGGTGGCATGTGTGAGGAATGACCATGTCTGCACAGGTGTGTCTGTATGTGCAGGGGGCGTGCCCACCCACGGGTCCTATGGGCCTTGGCTTGCTCCAGGCTTAGTTCACGGTGGGTTGGGAGCTCCTAGGTCCCCCAGATGAGGAGCGGCTTGTACATGGGGCTGTGGGTGCAGGCCACCTCTTTGCGGGAGAGGAATGGTGACAGACACAGCTCTGGGTCCCACATCCCATGCCCTCCTGTCCTGAGGGGTGGGATCCTGGGAGATGGAAATGCTTCTCTGGGTGTCAGTTTCCCCTGCATGAATGAGCAGTAGGTGGGTAAAAGGGTGGTAGGTGTGCGTAGAGTGACAGGGCCCCTCACGTCACCTGCTGACACCTCCTCTGGGCTAGGGCAGGAACTGCTAAACTGAAGTGTAGGCTTGACAGAAGGCCTAATGTTAGGGTGGGCTTTCTGGGGGGGGGAATGTCTCAGAGCCCAAGCCTAGGACAGACTCAAGGAGAAGAAAGCTGTCTCCGGCTTGGCCATTTCCAATGCAGCCATTCAACATGGGCATGACTCCATGAGATTTATGTAGGATTTCGGGGCTATTGACGGGAATTTGGGGATACCCGAGGAGCCCAGTTCCCAGACACTGTTTCCGGGCAGGGCTGGCAGAGAGGCTCACACTGAGCTGCTCCCCAGGAGGTGCCAGGAAGAACTGGTGAGGCAGAGGAGCCATCCAACTGGCTGTCGTCCTGCTTCTCGGGAATGTGTGTCCCCCGACCCTGTGGCCCCAACATGGAGGGGGAAGCCCTGGAGGCAGACCTCCTGGGTGGGAGCTCTCATCCTTCACTACCAGCCAGCAGGGCCCGGGTTCGAATGGGCATACCTTCAGAAAGGTGAGCCCCGCTGGCCGTGGGTGGGAAGTTCTTTAGGACCAAGATCAGAGACTTCCTGGGGGTTTTCCACCACTTTGTCTACTGGAGGCTCCTGCCCAAGGGAAAG